TGTAATTAACAGAACCTTAAAACTAGCTTGATGGCTAATGCTGTATTGTTTTTAACACTCGATTGAGAGCCGCCCAGAGTGGCTGGGGAAACTCAGCCAGATGGGCCGGGTATAATAATAATAAATTATTATTATTATTATTATTATTATTATTATTATTGGCAACTACTTCACATCCCTCAACACCAGTAGCATATGTGCCTGATAAAGAGCATCACTCGCCACCGAGGCTGCTGCATTCTGCCTCTGGACCATCTACCTGCCTCTCCTCATGGTCACTTTACCCTGCTGAATTGTAAAGCTAACCCTGGGCAAGCAACAGTGGCTATGTTTACCTGTCCTTCTAGCTCAGCCACCACACCTTCCTTAGAAAACCCCTCAATGCATACTTACCTCTCCTGTAGGTAAGGAAAGTAGGTGGGGTATATTAATAGTAACATTATGTGAATCCTGCATGTTGCAGAGCTGCCTGTGCTGTGCCTGTGTTGGACCTATTCCGAATCGGCTTTAGAGCTTCAGCACAAAGAACTTTGGTCCCAAGCTGTGCCATGAGTGCATTTAGCAGTGCTCAGGAAATCATTGAATCATATATTTGGAAGGGCTCTAAACTTATCCCCTGCCCTCAGGTAGAACCATCCATCAGCCAGCCCCTCCAATAAAGTCACTAATTCAGCTTAGCAGCTTGATTCACAGCTCAGTTAGAATGAAGCCTGCTAGATACCCATTCCAGAGGTTTACGAGTGCTCAGTTGTGCGCATGGATGGCCCACCAATCACAGGCCTCTCTGCTCATTCCAATGCACGGGGAACAGGACCCGGGCTTGCAACTTCGTAACAGTATCTTTAATTCAAACACTTGTCCAAATAAAATGTATCTATAAATTTGAGAAAACCTCCTTGGCGGGCCGCACAATGAACAGAGCAAGGAGAGCAAACGAATAGAAGCAAAACTATCTGGAAAGAAAATCTTTATTCAGTCAGCTGACGGAGCAGTCGAGGCTTGAACTCATTAGCTAGAAATGATTAATACAGATGGGAGAAAATGGTAGAGCATTCCCCTAGGAGAAGGTGAAGCAATTACAAATATAATAAATAAGATTAATTTTCACCAACAGTGGGGAGTTTGTTTGGTTAGGTTACGACCGCAAGTCTCTACTGGCAAGTCTGAATGTCCATATGAATAGGGAGCATGAGCATATCTTGGTATCTGCTCACTACAGTACGGCAGACTTCAAACATTACAACATTGTTGTCTCTGTGCATGTTTACATGTAATTTAAAAACCAAACCATAAATAAACAAAGGGGACAACTGTGCAAGCACCAGGACAAGAAGAGCCTTGTGTGCTGACGCTGAGATTGAAAGCAGATGTCCAGTTCTCTAATTAGGCACGATTCAAGCTGCCTGTAGCGCATAAAAGCCGTTGTTTGGGAATCGGTGGGAGGGGCCAATCTAACATAAACATTATTTGTCTTTTTTTGCTGCACATGGCAAGAGATTAAAGCAAACGGCAACACATTAATCACGGGGAAAATAGTCTTCAGGGAAGGCACTTACATATGTACCTCTGGTATCTTTCAAAAGTGAAATGTTTAGAAGTCGGGGTTTACGGTGCTTATTATTCAGGCATAGTAGGCCTGAATAGTTAAGGCACAACCCCATGCACCGTGCCTGAGAGGGAGGTCCGCATGGCTTGGCTATGGCTGGCCATGAAATTGGGTATATTGATTTGTTCTAAGCAAGTTTCAAAATGAATTTTCACATGATAACAAGTGAATGAGAGATTGGAGGGTTGGTCTTTCCCCCACCTATCAATACACTCTCCTACAAGTGAATTATTTTCATGTATTGAAAATATCAAGATAAACTGAATCTGGATGATTTGTGGATTTGAGGCGAGTTATATCTACAAAGCACTTGAGAAACTTTTGGCTTTGTTTGACAGCACCACAGCCAACTTTAGTTCTACGCTCCAATATTTCACACATGAAAATCCGGCATGCTTGCAATACTCCAGTGATCATTGTCCAAGGTCCTACCTTTATATCAGAGTTATATCCACCTGTTGGCTTCCATTATGCTGTTGCTCTCCAGCGCCCATCAGCCCCAACTACTGGTTAATGGTCAGGGATGACTGGAGATCCCCTTCCCTGCTTTACATATTAAATGTTGTTCACCACTTGCTATATGCTGTCTTGGTTTATTCAGCAATAGCCCAGCACCAACTGATTTAAAAGCTGAGATACTTTTTTGTATCAATGTGAAAGTATTTTATCAATATTAAAGGTGTGATCCCCCCTTTTTAAAAAAATGCTGTTGATGTTCACCTGGAAGCATCGAAACATTTTGATTACATACTTGTGACCTCCATGCTATCAGTGTGAAACAAAGCCTAAATGATGTGATTTGGATCAACTGCCATTTGATCACATCAGTTCACAAGGTGAAAAGAACGAACCCAGGATCTACCAGCCATTTCCCCCTGTTTTTGTTATCTAAATTTTATTGAATTTTCAGCATAGTTACAATAACAATATAAAAGCATTCCACCCCACTTTCCCAACACACTTCCTTTTGTGCCATAACTAAATTCTAATGGTATTTTAATTGCATTAACTTTAGCTTCCATAGTTCTAATATTGCTTTTATTACAGGGTGAGTCATGGAAGAGCATGGATGAGCAGTACAGTGCCTGCTTTGCATTCATAATGTCCTAAGTTCACTCTCTGGCATCTCCAGGTAGGTATGGCAAGGACCCAAACCTGAAACACTGGATAGCTGCTGCCAGTCAGTGTATACAGTACTGTGCTAGATGAACAAATGACCTGACACAGTATAAGGTGGAATCTACACACATATAAACAAACACTGTGAAAATGATTTTTTTTTTAAGTTTTGAAAAATACATGGAATTTCGCCATCGAGTGTCACATTTGTATATCGCACTTTACAACACATTTAAAACATTTTATTTACAGCTGTATAAGACATATTCTTATGTTTCTATATGCCATGAGTGTTTGGTTAGAGTATAAATTCTGTAAACAAATAATCAAATACGTAATGAACTCTGGCACTGAATGTGACATGAAATAATATTTCAACAGTTCAGGCTATATACACAAAGGGAAAAGAAGTGTCAATGAAAAAGGGAAGGGAAAAGGTGAAGGAAGCCCGAATATGCTCCGTGTTACACTCTGGTTTTTGTTTTCACTAAAACGGCACATGCTTTTCCCATGTGGAACGCTTTTGTCACACTTCACTGTGATTTTCATTCCTGTGATTTCCCCCTCCTTTTGGTTACCCTAGATATTAGAACAATCTGCAGTCATAGCTCCATGATCTGGGAAAGCTTCCATCAACAGAGATCAATGAATGAAGGCGTACCTGTCTCAGGTGTCCGTGCCAACGTGTGAGTGAATTGTGGGCTTGCCCCATTCAACATCCTGTTCCTCCTCATGCATGTGAATAATCAACATGTGGAGGGGGTGGTGGTACTGTACCTTCCTTCCTTCCTTCCTTCCTTCCTTCCTTCCTTCCTTCCTTCCATGAACTTATCTTCTCCAAATGCGCAGAGCCTATGCATTTAGATGCTGTACATTTGGAGATGGCTGGGGCCCATTGACACTGGTGGGGCAGAAGGAAGAGAGACCAATATTAGGTGGACCAAACCAACGATAGGCAGCATCAACGAATTCGAGTCCCAATTATCCTTCCTGTTGACATCTACAGGAGTCAACACTCACCCAAGAAGAAGGAAGCTAGCAGACAGTTCCATAGCCAGCCAGCCAGCCAGCCAGTTGGGAGTTGGTGAAGATAATGGGAGTTGGTGGGGTAATGCACCATTTGTCCAAATGAAGCAATCTCCTCTGTCATGTGTTACATTGTGTTCTCTGTGCATGATCTAGAAACCATATGTACAAAATGTACAGCTTGCAGATATTTAAGCTCCGGGTGCACAAAGTCAGTCAATATGTGGGTCGTAGGGGTGAGACCAGTGGGCATCCTCACCCTTTCTACATATACTTTTGTTGTACTCAAAGTATGTAGATCTTTATCTAGCATAGTATCATCAGACTGCAAGCGTCTCTCTGGTGTCTCAGAACTTTGTCATGTTTTTCACATTATCCGCTACCCACCTGGTCTGTGCAGCTGTCCATCTCTCCACCAGTGCCATCGAGGGGGCCATAAAAACTTCACCTTTAGTTTTCAGACAGACACAATGCACAATACAAAGTGAAGTGCTATGTCTTACTTGTAAAGACTTCAGCATCGTCGGATAGCCCTGTACTGTATGCAAATAATTTAATTTTCTTCCCCCTGTCTATCAATTCTTATGGCTCAATTAATAAGGAAAATGTTTGTGTTTTGTCTATTCAGCAGTGGCTAATCACCATATACATAATTATCTATCCCTTCTTGAATAGGAATAATCACTGCGAAGATTTAAGGAAACAAGAGGCAAAGGCAGGAAGATTAGTGTGCTGGCGACATAGGTGATTATCCTAAGCAACTATCTAATTATTTATAACCTTGATTCACGTATATAGTAAATATATCTCTTTTCCCCATGCTTGTTGACGCCTAGAGTAATTATTCACTGGAAGGTAACTCTCCGAGGCACCATTTCTATCTTCCTTAATTGCTCAAGTACCAGCTTACACTAGATCAGCATTGATGAGCAGTGACATCGCCCTGTCAGCCAAGTAATTTGTTGGCAGCAAATGCCATCGACGGTTTAGTCCCCATCTTTCAAGATTCCTCATGCAAATAAGACACCATAATTAGCACTGACCTTTGCCTAATGCTGGTTGCCAATCACTTGCGCACCATCCTGGCCGGGATGTGGGGGGGGGTGCACCTTCTTTGAGCTAGTTATAACAATTGAGACAATGAGTGGCAGAAGTAGGACCAACAGAGAAAGACAAAGATGCTGCTTGGTGAGCCTGCTGTGCTTATGGTAGCTTAAGGGATTTAATGGTCTTACAGAGTGTGTGCTGGGGAAGGGCCATAGCTCAGTGGTAAAGCATTCGCTTTGCATGGAGAATGTCCTGGGTTCAATCCCAGCTCTGCCGGAAGCTCTGGAGGGAACCTATCAGCAAGTGTAGACCATGCTGTCTTAGATAGTTCAGTGGTCTGGCTTGGTATAAGGCAGCATTGTTTGTTCCTATGCTACCTACCTCCACCGTCTTTCCCATGGAAGCTTCCAGCTCATGACTCATTCTCCATTAATAGGAGATTCCAGTTTCTCATGTCACTGTAATGGAGATGCTTTATTTCAGGGATGGCCAATAGGTAGATCATGATCTACTGGTAGATCACAGGGTGCCTGTGGTAGATCTTGGAACCTCTCCCACCCCCCAAAAAAACAACTTGGAGCTCCCCCAAAAAGCTCAACAATTTTGACTTATTAAAAAAAGCTCAACAACCTTGGTCAATCCAGTAGGTAGATCACTGCCAGTTTTTTTATAGTGGGAGTAGATCGCAGTCTCTTGGAAGTTGGACAAGCCTGTTCTATTTTATTGTGACATTCAAAGCTGAAGTTGATGATGATGACGACAATGACGATATATTCATACCACGCCCATCTGGCTTGGGTTTCCCCAGCCACTCTGGGCAGCTCCCAACAGAATATTAATCACGATAAAACATCAAACATTAAAAACTTCCCTAAACAGGGCTGCCTTCTGAGGTCTTCTAAAAGTCAGATAGTTGTTTATTTCCTTGACATCTGATGGTAGGGCATTCCACAGGGTGGGTGCCACTACAAAGAAGGCCCTCTGCCTGGTTCCCCGCAACCTCACTTCTCATAAAAGGCCCTCAGTGCTGGACCTCAGTGTCTGGGCAGAATGATGGGGATGGAGATGCTCCTTCAGGTATACTGGGCCGAGGCCATTTAGGGCTTTAAAGGCCAGAACCAACACTTTGAATTGTGCTTGGAAATGTCATGCTTATGATGGACAAGACAGATGCACTGGCAGGACACGCTGGAGGGACTGATTTGTTTATTTGAAGTTTTGCATGCTCCCCTTCATTAGAGGGCAACACGGTGATTAATATCAAAATTTCTGCAGCTCCCAGAATCTCCTGAATGAAAATAAATGCTCATTCTGATGTGTTGGGTTTTTTAAAAATATATAAAGTACCTTGTAGTGTATCTTGGTTTGGATCCTAGTTTTGAGAGCTTTCATTCAGAGAAGGAGATTTGCATTCAAAGGAGGGGACTTTCTAAAAGCAGAGAGGGTGCTTCCATCAATGGAGGTAAAACGTAGGATCCAAACCTTTCGTTTCAGTAAGTCTTTTGGTCAGCTGCATGAAGGAGCAGACTTTCCCAAAGAAGTCAGTGGCATACACTGCTTTCATGTACCAAAGTGTTCATATCCAGTTCCCCAAAAAGGAAGAATCAGGGAAGTGAATAAGACCTTACCCTGGTGCCCACCAGATGTCCCTGGGCTGGCTGCAACTCCCATAATCGGTGATCAGTGACCTTGCTGGCTGGGGTTGATGGGAGATGTAGATTGGCCCTTCCTGATCATATCCCTTGATGGTTTTAAAAGAGGATTAGGCAAATTCACACCAAAACTATCAAGAAATTCTAATGCCCTCTGTGAATGAGTCAAGAAAATAGAAGCCTCTTTCATAGGGCATGAGCACTAGAGGTGAGGTTTTGGCATAGCACTGCCTTATAAAATTTCCCTTGTACCACAATTTAAAGTAGTAGATCACTAGGTGGCATGCAATTAACTTGGAAGCAACTTTTTAAAGCTGGCAAGACAGAATCCAGGATGCTCAGAGACAGAGTGCTGCTATTGCAATGTTTAAAACAACTTTCACACCAAGACCTCACATGTACATTTTTGTTTCGCAAAGAAGTGAGCGGTGAAGAACATACTGAAAAACACAAGTGTTAAGTAAAAGAAAACTGCCATTTACAGCTCTTCAACCAATGCACCAAACTGGAACTTAATTAATGTGTCAAAAGTAGAGCAGCAGAGAGCCCCGATCCATACCATGCTAGGGCACATAAAGGAAAGAAGATATTTCGTAAGACAAATCAAAGTCTTATAAGGGTCAATAATCAACAGTATCTAGGCATTACGGTGTTATCTGGAAAGGAGGCTTCATAAATATAAATGGGCAGAGCTGAAAAGCCATTAGAATCCACTGAGAAGGTTAAAACTTTATTCATTCTTGGAAAGAACTAGACAAGCATACCTTCCCACTATAATCAATTCTTTAAGGATTATTCTTCTTTTGTTTGGGGCAAATTGCTTGCTGTCTCCTTCACTGTCAAGTCAATCCATTAGAACATAAATCTCCTAGAGTCAGTCTTTTATTGCCTACGTAAAATACAAAGGAACAGTAACCCGACACTTCAATAATTTCATTCCACAAGCAGCCTTCTATTCCAGCTGCATTGACAGTTCCTGGTGCACTACGAGCCGCCCCACCCCTTCCATAGAATGGAACACTTTCTCTCGAATTGCTGGCTCAGCCCATCGGATGACTCTATTAATCTTCACTCATTTAGCAAATAGCTGCTGCTGAACAGCACCAAAAAAGCAGGGCCTTTTTGTGGAGTATGATCTGTATCTGGTCAGTTTGAGGAATTTGCATCTCATGCCACATGCTGCTCTGAAGACATTCCATATCCAGGTGCTTTGGCACCCATCAATGCAAGACTATATATGCCTCACAACTATCAGAGCTGTGTGTGGACATAGCATGGTCTTTTAATCACAATTGCTACTTTCCTTTTCCAGTGGAATAGCAGACAGGCGGAGAAGACAATTGGCCCCACTCACATAGGGCTATGCTGAAACCCGCCCTCCAGTTTCTCCAAAGGGTTATTCCACCACAAAAGAGATTTTCTGATTTTATGCCTCATTTGAGATGGTGAAATGAAAATGTACATGATTATTTTCATGCATGCATTTTGAGATGGGTGGAAATAAATTAAGTAGGAATCTAATCACAGAGTTGTCTAGTCTAGCAACTTTCCTCTTGCTAGTTTTCTTCAGGAAAAGGGAGAAGCAAAGGGCTGATGGGCGGAAAATAGAGGGTGATTTTTGTCCAGCTTGTATCTTTTTAATGTAGTCATAAACCACAAAGTTGCTTTTCTTTTCTTCTTTCTTCTCTGAACTGGAATGATCATGCAATGTGGAAATATTGTCTGACACCAGCTCATTCTTTTAATAGAGATGCAAAGTTTGTCGCTAACAGAACTGAAACCATTTTGTTCTTATGTTGTGAACTACCATACAGTGTGTTAAATTGTGCAGCTTTTTCATTTAATCTGTGATGCTGAATTGCCTGCATTAGATTGTATATTAGATTATGACACAGAGAAGAGTGTTGTATGAGGGATGGGGGAGAATGTCAGTTAAGTTTACATTTAAAAGGACCAATCAAAGACACACTTTCCGAAACAATGCACAAGCTGTCACAGACGCCCTTCAAAATTTACACTGCTCTGAACTTGCAGTGCAGTTCTGTGGCCAAATAATGTGTGCAAAAATTCATATTACCGAGTAGTGTATACATTAAAAAGCATATAGTAGTGAAAATGGCATACAACCATGTATTATGTTAGACAAAATTGCATACAGACATATTGGGATAAATTCACACTAAAATCACGATTGATTTTCATGCGGATTTTTCCTAATAAAATTGCAAACTGATAGGAAATATGGAAACTGAAAACGTTGGGAAGAAATGAGAACAACCAAAATTGACAGCTATGTCCATTCCTGATATCTATACAGAACGGTCTGCAGTTTGGGGCTGTACATTTATTTCAGTATGTCAACTATTTGTAATCAGATATTTCTTTTTTTATTTATATCCATTTCCACCAGGCATACCAATATCTATACTTGCCATGCATCATTTCATTGCCCAAGTTTAGCCTGCTGAACTGGTGGGAGAAAGCAATGGCAGAAAGAAGTGTCATTGGGAAAATATAACCTTCTTTTACGTATCTGTAATATGTGATTTCAAAGTTATGGAGACGAGATACCTGCTACATATGAAGGATAAGGCAAAATATAGAGTGCCAACAATTTTCCTTTATTAGAAGCTGAGATCTCTTAAAGCTTATTTCAGCACCTTTAATTTTGGTAATACATTGGTATCAGCATGTAGATGAAAAATGTTTCATTAGGTTAGAAGACATGCTAATATAAAATAGCAACAGAGGAAGAATAGGACAATAAAATATGAGAGCCAGTATGGCATGGCAATTAAGTGCAGTATTGAACAACAGCAGGAAGACCTGGGTTCAAATCTCTGCTTATCCATGAAACTCACTAGGTGGCCTTGGGACACTAACTATTTCATGGTGTACCCTATGTAAGTAGCTGTTGTGAGGATAAAAATGAAGAGGGAGCATGCATGCCATTCTGAGATCCTTGAAGAAAGGTGGGTGCGTGGATAGATAGATAGATAGATAGATAGACAGATATAGATAAGTAAGTTAGTATTTAGGTGAAATGACTCCCAAAGTCAAGTTCTTCCTAACTGGAATGAGAATATTTCCTGAGATATTCCAGGAAATGTTCAGTAATTCAATTGTGACTCCATCAGATGCTTTACAATTAGATGTAAGCCTTCTTGCAGAATCTTGGGGATTCAGGACTTGTCATGCAATGCAATGCAATGCAATGTTTTAAAATATTAAGTAATTGGGGAAACCAGAACCAGGGCTATGTCTATGCTGTAATTCCACAAAAATGCATTAAAAAAAATTCATAGTGTTGTTGTGGGAGCACAGATCAGTTTACTAAGGATCACTACTTTCACTTCAGACTTTCAGAGCCTCACAAAATGGACTCTCGCATTGTCTTCCCCCCACTACAGAATCATCTCTCACCAGAGCTCTAAATCCCTTAACCACCTTGGAATAAATCTGCAAAGCATTAGCCATTTCCCAAGGACATGAAATTCAAAATGGTGCCAAAGTGGAAGGCAAAGACCATTCCAACCTTTGATAATCAAGAAAGAAGGCAGACTGATTTGTAACTGGGGAAATCTTTGAAAAAAAATAGCAGAACCATTCCAAGATGGTCTTGCT